CAATTCAAGTCTTGGACCCAGCAACTTGAGAAACATATGGGCACGTGAGCTTCTGTGCCCCGAATCCCAACAGGATAGAGAGATGGGAGGAGGGGGGATTGTGGAATTACCACTCCCCATGGGAAGTGCTTGCTCACTCACTCTCTCTCTCTCTATATATATATATATCTCCTCTATCTTGGGCCAGCACACACACCCACTAGTAAAAAGGAGAACAGAGAGCGGTCTATCAGGAATCAGATACTCACTACTCACTGAGTTTACTGGAGCCTTGATCTTGGACTTCCTAGTTTCCAGAGTGGCAAAAAGTAAATTTGTTGTCAATAGCCATTCAGGCTATTGTATTTTGTTATATCAGCCCAAATGAACTCAGACATAAAATTTAAGATTCAGGGACCAGCAGATGGCATAATGGATACGTCTCTGGACTCCCATGTAGTTGACCACAGTTTGAGTCCCAGACCTGGTGGCTTAAACTCACGCTAGGCACATGTGCATGCATGCCCAAGATCCCGAGAGGAGAATGGAGGAGAAGGGATTGCAGCATGGCCACCCCCCTTGGGGGGGTGATTTTTTGCTCTCTGTCTTTCTGTCTCTCGGTCTGTATGGCAAGTGCACGGGCCCTATAGCAAAAACTTCTCCAAAACAAAATAAAAATTAAGACTCGTGGTATCTAGTTGTTTATCCACAGCATTCTCACGTTACTGCCAACAGTCCTGACTAGGCCTGGTTTCCAGGAATATTCCTTCCACCTGTTCTGCTGACTCTCAGATCTATAAGGGCAGGTACAAGTCAAAGATCTTTTTTCTTTTTTGGAGAGATTTTCATTGTAGGGCGCGTGCGCTCGCCAGACAGACAGAGAGAAACATAGAGACAGAAAGCGAGAAATCACCCCCCAGGGGGGATGGCCAAGCCGCAATCCCTTCTCCTCCATTCTCCTCTCGGGATCTTGGGCACGCACGCACACATGCCCGGCGTGAGTTTTAAGTCACCGGGTCCGGGACATGAACCGCGGCCGACTACGTGGGAGTCCAGCGACATAGCCATTACGCTAACTGCTGGTTCCCCAAGTCAAAGATCTTTTACCTGAACCAGCAGTGAGCAGGTAGTGGGTAACAGAGAAGATGTTAGCCTATAGAAAGTTCTCCGAGTTCTCAGATGTAGGAAATCACATACAGAGGGGACTTTGGTTTTCATCATTACCTCATCTAACTGCAACTTTTCTTCTGTCATGAATTTACTCATTAACACAGTATAAACAATGAGAAAAGTACGAGACAACTTTTGGAATCTGTAATATTGAGAATCATGCAAGTTGGAATGTATCATAATTCCCGTTGTTTCGAGAGCACGAATTAGAGCAGTTATACAAATAACTCATATGTGAAAAAGATGTGACAATATTTTCTCAAATTTGACAGAAATTCTAAAAATTTATATGACATTACCAATAATGAGGTAGGAAGCAAAAAGAAAAATCTTTTGAAAAATGATTAATCATTAAAAAAATTGATCAACCATGCTGGGGGCAAGACTGAATTATCTTTTTTCCCTTGTTAGAAAATATTACACAATTTTGTCATATGAATAAGTAAGCACTTAAAATATAATTCCAGGGAGACCAGCAGATCACATAATGGTTATGTTGCTGGATTCCCACATAGTTGACTGTAGTCTGACTCGATGACCTAAAACTCATGCTGGGCTGTGCATGCGTGCCCAAAATCCCAAGAGGAGAATGGAGGAGAAGGGATTATGGCATGCCATCACCCCCCTCACACACACACACACACACACACACACACAGGGTTGATGTCTCACTTCCTGTCTGTCTTTCCAGCAAGCACATGTGCCCTACAGCAAACATCTCTCTCTAAATATATACTTGATTCCAGGGCCTTCCCTGTGGCCTACTTATTAAGGGAACCAGATCCCACAAGGTCAACTGTAGTTTGAATCCTGTTCCCGGTGACTAGAAAGACACTGGATGTGTGTGTGTGTGTGTGTGTGTGTGTGTGGGCCTACCCCAAATCAAAACAGGATGAAAAAAATGGAAGAGAAGGGATTATGACATGACTGTGCTCACTGGTGGATGCTTTACTGCCTCCCTATCCCCACCCATCTCTCTGTCTCTCTCTGACCAGTGAATGTATCCTCTGGCAAACTGAAAAAACAAAAACAAAAACAACCTAAACTAAACTAGACCTCTCTCATTTGGCTTAGGCTATTGTAACAGACCATATTCTGAGTAGCTTAAACAATAGGCTTTAATTTTCTCAGTTCTGGAGGCTGGAAGGTCAAGATCTGAGTGTGGGTAGGGTCAGTTCTGAGGAAGGTGTTCTTCCCCACAGACATCTGTCTCCTCACTCTAAACCCACGTAGCAGAGAGTGGGAGCTACTATGCCCCTGAAGGCTCTGCTTACAAGAGCACTAACCTCAGCATGAGGTTCCCACCTTCAGGACCTCACCAAAACCCAACTACCTCCCAAAGGCCCCATCTCCAAATACCAACACTCTGAGGATAGGGCCTTAATACGTGAACTTAGGGAGGAGGAAATCATCCAATCCATAGCAATGCTTACACCCAAGAAACAAAAATAGGGGCTGACCTGGTTGCCTAGTGGTTAAGGAAGCCAGATGCCTCATGGCCAAATTCATAGTTTGAATCTTGGCCCCAGTGGCTTAGAAAAACATGCTGGGTACATGTGTGAACTTGCCCCAAATCCCAACAGGAGAAATAGAGGAGAGGGGATTTTGATATGACCACACCCCCACGGGGGTACTTTCTTCTTCTCTGACTCTCTCCGGTGACCAAACACTCTCTCTGGCAAAACAAAACAAAACAAAACTTATATGCAAGTCAGTTACTGTTTTTTCTTTTTATTCAAAAATGCTTACCAAAATATACTTATGAAACTGGGAGTACATCCCTATCAGTCCTCTTCTCTTTGCTTCTTTTTTTCATAGCCCCTGTAGAGTAGTTCTAAAATGCAGTTCCAAGGCTGTATGTACCTGTCCTGCCCAGAACCCTTGAAAGAGCGCTGAAGGCTCTTCAAGATTCTGAGTTAATATTTAGCCACATCCCCTACATTTCCTTGAGTAGACTGGCCTTTGTGCTTTGCTCATATAATTTCCTCTAGTTGGAAGGCCCACCTAAAAACCCTTTCTGTAGTGTTTGTTCAAATGTCACTTCCTCTGTTAGAATTCCTAGTTTCCGGCAAGTTTTGTGATGCAGCATGTCATCCTGTCCAAGAAAAGCCAGATCCCACATTTTGACTGTGGTTGGGATTCTCAGCCCAGTCAGCCCCAAAGAACATACCAGGCATGTTTCTAAGTGGCCAAGCTTGCATGGATTAGATGGTGAGAGGAAGAGGGTGAGGACATGACCAGAACTTGTGGCAGGTGCTCCTCTCTCTCTCGCTCTCACGTGTGCGCACACACACACACACACACACACAAACACACACACACACTCTATCATGCATAAAGGAAAGAAAGGGGAAAAACGGATGATTTTCTCCTATAGACCATCATATCACCTTATAAGTTATAACACGAATGCCAGAAGAGAATTCTAAATAATCGCTGTGCACCCCACCCTTAAGACCCACAGCAGAAACCGTATTCTATTCATTTTTGTGTCTATAAAGCATAGTGTTGCACTTCAGAGACACTGAATTGGAATTGGCCCAAGTGTGATAAACTATATTTGCTAAAATGATAGCATGGATTTACAATAATCCCTGAAACCTTAAAAGGAAAGATAATCGAATTAAGTGGAAAAAAAGTATCATCACAGTTGTGGGAGATTTGTGGTCTTTTTTAGAGAACTGAATGTAAAATGCATTCAATGAATGACTTGCTGTTTCTAGATGCTATGAGTTGAATTCCTTGCTTAAGCCTCTTAGAAAGAGATAGATTAAAATTGGTACCCTGAAGTGTGGAGGACAACCGTGCATCACTATAGCACTCTTTTGGGACAGTCAGTTTTTATTTAAAAAGTGAATTTTGGATTTTAAAAGCAAAACTTTAAAGTTATTAGGCTCAGGTAGTTCTTAAATCCCTACCTCCACCATGAATCCCAAATGCTCTGCCTTTGTCATGTAGGAGCAACAAATGGTCAAGAATAAACATTCATGCAATTTACAGAGCCAGGTAACAGACAAGCTCATTGTGTTAGAAAGCCTGGAACACTTAACGCATCTGATGTACTCTTACTCTAATCTGGCTTTTCCAGTACTTATTTGTAGAAGTCCTGGTAGACAATCTTTGTTCTATGTCCCCTTAGGGTCAATGCAAAGAGAAATCCTTACTAGGGAGACATCTCATTATTCCCAGTTCTATTTTTAATTTAGATCTCTTTTTCTCTCCTTAGGTAATTATGAATGTTTGTGTTTTAAAGAATATTTAAAATTCTTTATGTGAAAATATTTTAAAGTTTAAAACACTTAAAATGTTGTTTTAAAACATTTCTTCAATATATATATAGTTTAGGTTTTTGCTATATGATGACTATGCTTGCCCGGGAGAGACAGAGGGAGAAAAGGGAAGTGAGAAACCATACCCCGGGGGCATGGCCACCCCCAATCCCTTCTCCATTCTCCTCTTGGAATTTTGGGCACACATGTTCAGGCATCCCCCATTCCCACCTTT